ATACTCCTTCTTCCCAAATGACCTTGGTTTCATCAATTTACCTGTCTGTCTCTGGGAAATGAATGACCTTCAAAAATAAATATAACTCTGGACCAACAGCAAATTTCAGCTTTATAAACACTAGAAATGTTTTGGCCTACAATAGAATATTCAACTTTGTTCAGAGAAGTTCTAGGATTTGGCTTTTTAATTTTTTAAAGCAGTTTCTTACTTAACAAAGGCTGCTTCTATGAGGCATGGCAGCCTCTGAACCGATCCAGCAAATCAAGGAGAACACCTGTTTAGTGGGAACAGTTAATCATTTTAAAAGCCTGAGAAATGAAAGTCCCACAGAACTCTGCTACAGCCACTAATAAGCATTCCAATGATGCTCAGCGCTGTGCCCCTGCAGAATCACAATGCGTCACTTGTTCTATACAAACACAAACGTAAAGGAAGCTACAGCAAAACAGAAATAGGAATAACTCACATGTGTTTCTGTGTTGGCTATTGTGGAGACATCTGTGACTGGACACAGACTTGATAGGTGTAGAAACCAAAGATGAATGGGTTGCTCCATAAATTCAAATATATTTCAATGGAGAATTATTTTCTTGGTGCAGTGTTGGGTATGCATAGATCTTCATTCTTTGTATATAGATGGGATACTTCAGAGATACTACCTGATCTCTGTGGCAAATTAATGCTGCCAATATTGCTGTAATAATTACTAATTTGCACATAAGAAAACATGAAAAGATCCTTACACAGTATGTACTTTCAGTGGACCGAGATCAAAGCGATAAATAAGACTTGTTATTCTGGCTGACAATGCCAGGAATGGAATCCAGGACCACTTCCATCAAAACTGCTGCTTCATAAAACCACAGGAAGGGACAATTTATCATGATTTCTGTCACATCTACTTAGAGCCATGCCCTCATTGCTTCAATAGTGACTGGTGATAAAGCCAGTGTTAAGCAGGTTATCTTTTCAGCTGGTTACTATTTACTAGACTTAGTGAAACAGATATATGTGAATGAATGAATATATACATCTGTTTGTTTGTGTGAGTGTGAGTCTGTGTGTACAGCTTGATAAGCAAACCAGTTCAGTTGTTTTGCAAAACCAGCATTGTTAAAGCAAATATTATCTATCTAGAGATATTTATGCTATACTTGTTATTCTAGTTTTTGATACTGAAATAAAAACACATTCAATAAACTAGCTTACATCACAAATTAATTTTGGGTTGATTTCACACACACTGTACATCCTTGACTTTTTATAACTAACTGTGGATTTTTAAACTATATGGATAGGAATCTGAATATCCCTTCTAATTGCCTAAAATGGCGAGCAACAAAAGCTCTGCATATATATATCCCAAGCCATTTAAACTGAAGAAACCCAATTCTACACAGAATTAAAATCCTATAATTATAAAGGAAGCAATTCTTGCCAAGGCCTATAGAAACAGTTGACAACACTTCTGACTTTCCCCTTTCAAACGGTTCTTCCTCTATGTAAGTGCATCTTATTGGGTAGATCTCACTGATCTGAACCAGAAGACCAATTTTAAGTAGGGGGAAATGATGAGATTTGCAGATTGCAATATTAACCAGGCTCAGGAACTGTGATGCTACACAGCCAAGTTCCTCTTCTTTAAACCCAAGTATATAAAACAAACAACTAGTTTTGAAAGACTTGGGGAGAAATGGCTCAAAGCCAGTTGGCATAAGTTTTAGTTGTGATAAAACATGTGATAGA